CTGGCGGCGGTGGCGGCTGCGGGGCCACGTCATGCGCGCATGCGCTCTCCGCGCGCCGGCAACGGCCGGGCGGAAAGTTCCCCGCTCGGCGTGTAGGTTTCCATAGAAACAGAGCGAGACTTGGGAAGCCGCGTAGTGGTGACCACCGCTGCCGGGGCCGCTGGAGCAACAAAGATGCCGGCGAAGGGAAGGGACAAAAGGAAAATCAAAGAAAAGAGGAAGTAAGGAGGAGTGTCCCTGGGATTCCCTGTTGGGGTGACAGTCCGGACGGTGAGGGTCTGGGAAGCCGGGGGGATGCTGGCCTCAGAGAAGCAGGAGACTGGCTTACCGGTGCCCTCCGCCGGCCCTCCTCTAGCTCTGAGGACAGCTCCCATAGTTCAGAAATTGCCCCAATGCACACCGAACTGTATTGCTTTAATTTAGACAATTGAGTATGAGATTTGGGGCCCTAAAATAATTTAGACAAGTCACCCGTGTGTATGCATGCACTCACAGAAGGCAGACTTCCGTTACTCCCAAAGAGTAAAAGTAATACAGGACCAAATGATAACACGTGCGCTAGTGGAGGAGAAAACTGAGAATGAGCAAATTAAGTTAGACTCTAGAAGTGAAGGTCAAGTTAATGGTTCTTGGTATATCAGAGGCCCTCAAGATCTCATTGCCCAATAAAGTAGCCACCAGCCATGTCTGGCTATGAAATTGAAATTATAAAATTAACTTTCAAAATACATACCCTTGTTTGTACTAGCCACGTTTTGTAAACTCAGCAGGTATATGTGACTAGTGGTGACTGGCTGCACAGATACAGATTCCATCATAAAAAGTTATATTGGAAAGTACTGCTCTAGACTAGTTGTTCTCAGTAGGGCTTGGTTTTGCGTCCCAGGGGACATCTTGTATAATCTGAAGACATTTTTGATTGCCACATCTGGAGGTGGGTGCTACTGGCATCTAGTGGGTAGAGACCAAGAATGCTGTTAAACGCCCTACAACACATAGGATAACTCCCCACCCTCATCCCCAAACAAAGAATCCCTTGCCTCAGAATTTTGATTGTGCCAGTTAGGAAGCCCTGCTCAAAACCATAAACTTCTCTAGAATAGGCATAAAATATCATTCACCATATCTTCAGCACCTAATATAACAGATGCTTAATATTCGTTAAATATACAAATTAAGGTATCTGCTTGTGTAGGCTTCAGTTTGGATCTTTTCTCCCTGCCTTCCTCCCCTACACCCTCTGCTGAGTTCATGCTTTCTTGCTTTTTTATTTAGCCTGAAGGATTGCTACTTTGTAGTTGAGAGGACCTCTGGGTGATTGAAGTAGTTCCCTGGGAACCACTTTTCAGAAAACATCTTTGGGTCAGAAAAAAACCTAAAGGATTTGACTAAATTCAGTAATTGTGAATTCTCCAAACTAATCAGAACCCTAAAGCTTGTAAATCTCTAACACTAACACTTTGTAGACTTGGAATTACTACTGCCTTGTCACTAGGCCTATTAGGTGTCCCTGGTGATTTCGAGAAACAGTGAAGTCACATGCTGTCCAACAACACCATGTATGGGACCACAAAAGAGTCCTCAAAACTTGTAATTTGTTTAAGAGAGCAGTAATACATTCTCAGTACAGAAAGTTTAATGGAAAGTAGAAAGAGAAAAAAAATCACCTGTAATCACATCATTCAAAGGTAACTACTACTAGCATTCTTATTTTTTGTGAAGTGATAGTCCCATGTACATACATGTATGTAGTTTCTCGCCCTCTACCACATGTATTAATATGAGTAGTCTTCCTCAAGGAGTAAGATGGTGTCACTTATATGTGTAATGCAGAGTTACCAAGCAAAGGATCAGGTAAAGCCAAACTAACAGCAAACCTTAGAAAGCTGACTATAGAATTGAGGTTACCAGAGGGAGATGGGCACCAAGAAAGGGAGGGAATATAATGGACCATGGGGATGGATTGTGGGTTCTTCGGCAGGTAGATTTGATATAGTAACAACACCTCTAAATATGATGAAAACCAATGTTACCTCAATTTAAAAAAAAGTATTCTATAGCCTGGTTAGGCGTGTGCGTGTGTGTTTTATAGTACCTTTAAAAAGTGCCAAGGACTTAAGGCATTCTGAAACTCACTGCAGGTTTCTTCTATTCTTGGCCATACAGTACATACGTGAACAATGAGTAGCACTGAAGACAACAGTTCTCCTCATTCCTTGAGTATTCCATTATCCATAATTTGAGAAACACTGCTTTGTTTCTACCACTATTAGAAACAAATGGGTATGATAGGATTATGGGAGGTATCTGATTTATCACCTACTCTGAGTGATGTAGAGCTCATGTCTTCAGGGAGCAATTGGATGATTGCAGCAAGGCAGTCTATAACTGGTGACTATTAAATCATGTGAAAAGAAAAGACAACTGCTAGAATAATATGGGGGTTGAGCATTGAATTGGCTTGAATTTGAAGAGGAGAGAAAGAGGACTGGGAAAAGATTGAAAACTAGAAATTGGGGGTGGTAATGGAGGATATACAAAGGTACATAGGGCCCTCCCTGGTGGCACAGCTGGTGAAAGCTCAGCACTACTAAGGTAGCTGCAGCCACTTCAGCATGAGTTCAATCCCCTGCCAGGGAGGTGACCCTCATGGCACAGCCGACCTCTCCTAACCCGCCCCCTGCTCCCCTCTGCCTGTTCTCCTCCCCACTCTGTCTCTGGTGAAGCTGCTCGCTGCCTCTGCACTTGTGGCCAGTACCCCAGTTCTGTATGCATAAATAAATAAATCTTTTTTTTTTTTTAAAGATTTATTTATTTGTACATACAGAACTGGGGTACAGGCCAGAGACGCGGAGGGTGAGAGGATTCACCAGAGACAGAGTGAGGAGCAGAACAGGCAGATCGAAGAAGTACACTGCTGAGGGGAGCAGCGGGCGGGTCAGGAGAGGTCTGCCACGCCATGTGGTCTCCTCCGGGGCAGGCGGGAATCGAACTCATGCGGAAGCGGCTTTAGATTCTCAGTGCTGTGCTTTAACCCGCTGCGCCACTAGGGAGGGCCAATAAATCTTTTTTTTAAAGAAATGTGCACATATTCATATGTGTGAAAACATTTAGAATTCAAATACAAAGTTGTTATATACATTTTTATGTATCTAATGCCTCCCCTATTATATAGGATGTTTTGTTAATGCTTATATAGTAAATTGTTATTTTGAAAATCTCCCCTTTTAATCACTTTAATGTTGGAAACCCTCCTTTTTTTTTCTCCATTTCTGGATACATGACTGTGGCTTGTTTCTTAGCCGTCCTTGAAACTTGAGGCTTTGTGGTACGAGCTGATAAAGTAATTAGCACACTTGCCCTAGTGACTTATCCTTTATGAAAGATGTAGCCAAAAACAAAACCAAAAACTGGGGTAGAGATAGGTGAAAGATTATAGAAATATAGATTTAAAGCATAACACTACAAATCTACTACAATTCCCCTGGCAGGGGATTGAACTGCAATAGAGAGAACCAAGGTCTAAGACTGAATAAGAATAGAAAAGACAGTTGAAATATGAGAGAAGCAAACCAGAAAATGAAAAGATGTGAAAGCTTTATGAAGTGATTATGCCTTTCCTTAAGTGACTTATGCCTTTCCTGTTTGTTTCCCCAATCCTTTAGATTATGCTTCAAAACTTCCCTCTTCCAGGAAGAGCCACCTCCTGAACTCCCTTTTCAAGTAATAATGTATTTTTTATTAACTCATTAACCCCACCATATTTGCTCACATGTGCTAAGCAATGCCTAGCAAAGTAAATAATAATTGAGGTCTAATACTAACATAATAGAGGAATAGTTATACATCGTTTATGTCCTCTTCCCGTTAGGAAGGCAACAAAAACTGAGGAATCTGTGGTGGAGAGAGCCAAGGCCAATGCCTCCCTCTGGGAAGCTAGGCTGGAAGTCACCGAACTCTCTAGGATTGAGTATCGTGATGCTTCCAGGAGACTAGCAAAAACCAATGAGGACTTAAAGAAACAACAGTACAAAATGGAGAAAGACACAATGTCTGTGTTAAGCTTCCTGAAGAAGCAGGATCAGGAGAAAGATAATATGGTAAGCAGGGGCAAACCCCTCCTGAGCCTCAGCAACCATCTCTGTGGTCACACTGTGATGTGGTGTGTCTTTCAAGGATTTAATTCCTTGAAATCTCATTACAGTTAAGACATTTCGGTTGACTCTTGTTCTGGTAGGATGCTATTTCAGAATGACTAATGTCAGAGTTGGTTCTCTCTTATTTTCAGTTCTTGTCCCATGTTTGTTTGTGTGCCTGAAACATACTGATCACATGGAAACATTATGATCCATTTTAAGGACAAGAACTTAAGTCATATGCATAGATGTAAATAATGATCATATACATTTTTGATATTGATATATACTTCGGTTTAATGATTTATAAAGTAATTCCCTGATAATCTGTGTGAACATGATTATGACCCCAACAAGCTGAATCTCCTCCTCTTGAATTTGTGTTACTGAATCTTATTTAAATGTTGAGAGTAAGCTGTCATTTTAAATTCAAAACAGGAAAGGAAGTAACATTTTGGAGCCCCTATTTTGTGTCAGACACTGCTGGGTACTTTACTTCTCATTTAGTCCTTTTAGTAACACCATGTAGCTACAGTATTATTGTTCCTATTTTATAGATGAAGAAGTTGACTCTCAGAGAGGACAGGTAACTTGCTGAAGTCACATTCCTAGTGGGTGTTAAAGTGGAACTTAGGTGTCATTTCAAATTCTTTTCTTTCCCATTTGCCTCTGTGAGGCCCATAAAAACGCAAGGAAATTTCCAATGTGCTGAAGATCGTGTGCTTCACTGTAGCCAAAAACAATACATCCTATAGTTTCAAATTTTACTTTGTTGGGCCTCCCTGGTGCTGCAGGGGTTAAAGACACAGTGTTTGATACCTGACCAGGTAGCTGACCCACATGGCACAGCAGAACTCTCCCCACGTCTCCCCTCAGCATTGTATTTCAGCAGACCCCCCTGATCTACTCCCCACTTTGTCTCTGGTGAATCCTCTCACCCCCCACCTCACACCTCTGACCTATACCCCAGTTCTTGTATGTATAAATACATAAATCTTAAATTTTTTTTACTTTGTTAGTTTGTATTCTACATATATTTTGCCAGCTGTTCATTTTTTTAAAAATTTTAATGAGTATATCTTACTTTTATTCATTTTTAACTGTGTTATAATATTCCAGAAGATAAATAAACCAAAGTTAATTTAGCCATACTCTCTCCACCCTGTGGATTAGACTCTCATTTCTTCACCAATTACAAATAACCTTTCATGAACATTTTTCTACAAGTCTGATTGTGCTCATGTTGAGTTTCTGTCGATACTTAGAAATTAAGTCACTACATAATGGGGAATGAAGAGTTTCACTGAAGGGTGTAAATTGAGTTCCAAAGGGCTTTACTAATTTATGCTATCCCGAGTGATGGTATCACATTATTAGAGTGAGTTCTTATTTGCCCACCTTTTTGTCAACACTTGGTATGATACCTCATGTTTGCCCAGTTTTATGGGGTTAAACTTGGTTTCTCACTTTAACTTGTGTTTTCTTGTTTATTAGTTACTTGAGCATCTTTTTTATTATTTTGTACTTTAAATTTATTTATTTACATCATTCTTCATTTTGTACTTTTTCATCTCAGTTGTAATCCTCATGGACTTCCCACCACCAATCACCCATGTGCTATCACCATAGCTCCACCCATCAGCCATTTAAAAAATTTATTTATGTGTTTCTTCAGTTCATATATAAACTAATATTGGAATGATGCATAATATCAGGGCTCCTACATAAGGATGCCATGTAAATTCTTGAATCATTCCATAATTTCTTCAAATGTCACTATTAAGCATTTGGAGTCTTCTTTTTTTTTATTACAAAAGTTTATTTTTACATCATTTTGTACATGGAGTCTTCTTTTAATTGTTGGTCAGTGCTGTGTCTCCAGCACCTAGTATGTGCTACTACCGCATCTAATAGACTACTCAGAGCCTGGTGCATAGTAGATACTCAAAGTATTTTTGCATCATACATGAAGGCCGTGTGATGAGTATACTGATACTTTGAAAAAGCTGGTAGCAAACAAAACTAGCTTTCAGATTATATTGAAAGCATATTAGAAAATCAGACAACTGCATATGTGTGAGGATATTGTGTATTTTATTAAAGTAGTTTTTTTCTGCCTTCTTTGGCAGGTAACTTCCATTTCCAAAATTATTCTTTGAATAGAAGGCATTATAAAAACTGTTTTCTATAAAGTATTATTCTAAAGTAAATTTGAAGGCAAGCTATACAAACAATTTTCAAAATTCATAACAATGAAGTTTTGTGGCCTATGTTAGCTAGTTGATAATGGTCTGCATTTTTGGTATCATTTGATTTCCATCTGCATCCATATATGGAAAACCAGCAGCTAGCCAGAGCAAGTGCATTTTCTCACTGTAACCCATGCCTATTTAAAGCAGAGAAACTATATTGGAAGGAAGAAGCAAAGCAGATTCAATGTATCCTGGTTAGCTAGCCCACTACATACAGTTTTGTGACCCATTCTGCTATATCCTTGAATGTGCTTAATTTTTAAAATTCAAACTGTTTTTATATTACAATGTGATTTTGAAAACTATTTTATAATGAACAAAATTAAAAGTCACTGAAGAGGAAGACAAGACTTTGTCCAATCACAAAATAAATCTCAGGGCCCTCCCTGCTGGCAACCTATTAAAGCACATCACAAGAAGCTAGCTGCAGCCACTTCAGCATCAGTTTGATGCCCAGCCAGGGACGTGACCCATATAGTGTAGCAGACCTCCTCTGACCCACCCTCTGCTCCCCTCAACAGTGTACTTCATCAGTTTGCCTGTGCTGGTGAATCTTCTCACCATCCCTGCACCTCTGTATACATAAGTAAATAAATCTTTTTAAAAAATCTCATTATGGCCTCCCTGGTGACGCAGCAGGTTAAAGCACTGCACTAAGAAGCTTAAGCCACTTCCACATGAGTTCGATCCCCGCCTGCCCGGGAGGAGATCCACATGGCGCTGCAGACCTCTCCTGGCCCGCCCACTGCTCCCCTTAGCAGTGTACTTCGTCGATCTGCCTGTTCTGCTCCCCACTCTGTTCCTGGTGAATCCTCTCACCCTCCGCATCTCTGGCCTGTACCCCAGTTTTGTATGAATAAATAAATAAATCTTTAAAAAAAAATCTCATTATATTTCACTCTGGTCCTACATACTTCAGACTGTCTCAATTTGTTTTTTCTTGAACTAGTATAAGATAGTACAATACTTTACTTATCTTTTGTTCTATAATCATGTCAAGGACTCTAATTTCAAAAGCAATTTAGGTTCCCTGCTAAGACAAACCAGCATTCTTGGAGAAATGATTGATTTTAATACCAAGGCAAGCAAAGTAAAAAGCTGATTCTTAAATATCTTATTTGTGAGAAAGTGAGTAAAAATATTAAAGGAGAACCTTAAAGGGGGTCCCACTTGCCAAATCCAAGACAATAAAAAATAAGAAATGACAGTAATAGATTATTTTTCATTGGTTGAAATAAGTCCATCAGTGTGTATAACTAATATATTCAAGGTATACATCAATAGCAAAAGGATACAGGAAAACTTTTCCTTATACACCAATTACATTCCTAAGGAATAATGAAATCAAAGAAAGTCCAAAGTTTGTTGCTAAGTAGGTGGTGTGGGAAGGCAAGAAGAAGAATTAATGTTTCATGAGTATAGAGTTCAGGTAAAAAGTTGTAGAGGTCTATTGCACAATAATGTGAACATACCAACACTCTTGAATTGTACTCTTTCAAATAAAAGTATTTTTTTATCCATTTAAGAACTGGGGCACAGGCCAGAGGTGTGGGGTGGGTAAGAGGATTCACCAGACAGAGTGGGGAGCAGAGCAGGTACATGTACTGAAATACACTGCTGAAGCAAACCGTGGGGGGACTGGAGAGGTCTGCTGTGCTATGTGGGTCAGCTCCCTGCCCAGCCTGGGACAGAACTTGTGCTGCAGTGGCTGGCCATAGCTTGATAGCACTGTTTTTAACCCCTACACCACCAGGAAGTTCTTTTGAACTTAATAATTTAGCTTAGGATCGTAAATTAAATGTGTTTCCTACCACAACAAAAAAGAAAAAGTTACCCAGGTAATTCTGATAATAGCCAGGTTTTGGAAACTGGCAATAGCAGGTTAAGGGCAGGGAGAATATCCCCAGCTCTTCTCATCTAACCCTAGTGGGTTTAATAGCATATTAAAACTAGCCACTTAATAAAGGTAGGACATGGGATATCTATTTATCTTCCTGAGTTTTTATTTTCATATTTTACAGATTGAAAAACTGAAAGAGCAACTAAATGAAACAAAAGAAAAAGCACAAGAAGAAAAGGAAAAACTGGTGAGTATCTATGCCCACAAATAACTCACTGACTGGTTAGTCAGGTTTCTGGTAGGTTTGAAATTTAAGACATGGTGAGGAAAAGCGAACAGGTCATTTTTTTTTTAAGATTTATTTATTTGTGCATACAGAACTGGGGTACAGGCCAGAGGCTCAGGGGCGGCGAGAGGCTTTACCAGAGACAGAGTGGGGAGCAGAACAGGCAGATTGACAAAGTACACTGCTGAGGGGAGCAGCGGGCGGGTCAGGAGAGGTCTGCCACTCCATGTGGTCACCTCTGGGGCAGGCGGGAATCAAACTCACGCTGAAGTGGCTTTAGCTTCTTATTGCTGTGCTTTAACCCGCTGTGCCACCAGGGAGGGCCACGAACAGGTCATTTTGCAGTTCACGACTTTAAAGTTCACATGACTACAAAAACTCTACATGAAAAAGTTATTGTGGAAAACTTGAAAACCATCTGCTGTTAGTAGTGCTTACTGACCCTGAGCTGTCATTGTAGGTAGGAGTTTTTCAGTGGACAGAGCAAGGTATTACATTTTTTTAAAGGTTTAAGTATATCATGGCTCCATATTTTTAATGCTTTCACTTCAGATGTGAGAGTACAAGGTTTTTACTTCATTTTCTCTTTCTCCTTCACCAGAAATCCAGGTTCTTGCTGATGTCAGTCTAGTTGTATTGTTTTATGTCAATAGTCACGGAATATTAATGCTGCCACTAACACAGATTACTGGAAACAGTGTTAACATTTGGGGGCATTATTTTCCCTTTAGGTATATGTACCAATCAAATTGCCAACCAAATAAATCCCCAGGCTTAAAAACCATTTGAAAGGGCCCTCCCTGGTGGCACAGCGGGTTAAAGCACAGCACTGAGAAGCTAAAGCCACTTCCGCATGAGTTCTATTCCCACCTGCCCCGGAGGTGACCACATGGCGTGGCAGACCTCTCCTGACCCGCCTGCTGTTCCCCTCAGCAGTGTACTTCGTCGATCTGCCTGTTCTGTTTCCCACTCTGTCTCTGGTGAAGCCTCTCGCCGCCCCCTGAGCCTCTGGCCTGTATCCCAGTTCTGTATGCACAAATAAATAAATCTTAAAAAAAAAAATCATTTGAAAGAATTCCTTTTTGTGGTGTTATGCCACTAACCACCTATTTGGCTTCTTTCTTTAAAAGTTGCTTTTAAAAAATTTAATTGTGAGCCTGTATCTGAAGAGGTGTGAACTCATACATCTGATTCACATACAGTATTGTAAGCCAGTGTTATCACAATAAAAAAAAAAACCACAGTAAAAAAATAAAAAAATTAATTGTGCATGTAAAATTATGTAATTATAATGATATAAAATATTTATATGGTTCCAAAGTCAAATTTGCAAAGCCTAGTCTGTTCTGAGAAATCTAACTTCTCTCTGTGGCCTCCCTTTGTTTTTGTCCCTTAGCTTCAAAATATACCAGAGCATGTTGCCAAACTGATTTTTGTCACCATGATAGGCTAGAATTAATATTTCAGTTTATTATGATAAATGAAGCATTGTTTTGTATGTTTGAAAGCCATTTGCATTTCTTTTGTTATCTCTTCCTTATTTTTTAAAAATCCTGTTGGCCCATTTTTCTTTCCCCGCCTTTGATTTTTCTCTTTTCTCCTCCCCTTCCTTTCTCCTCTTCCCCCTTTTTTTTCCTTCTCCCACTTTTCCCCCCCTTCATTTACTTTTGAGAGGTAGTGGCCTTCTCTCTGTCTCTTAACTTACTAACTTTAATTTAGGGTTAGTGGTGTTATATATCTTACAGGGTAAGGTACAGATGGTTTACTCTTCTCATACCTCTTTTTAAATAAAAATCTGTGCTTTCTATACAATATCAACTTATTCTAGCATTTTTTCTATTCAAGGCAGTTGATACTTTTCTAAAAAATTTACAAACTTTATGCAAAAATAAAAAGGGAACATTTCTTCAAATAAGATAGGCTAATGGCTTACAGCTTCAATCAGAACATGACTGAGTGGGACTTATGTTCTTTTTCCTGACTCATTAACTTGTTTGCTTTTTTTTTTTTCTCACGCAGGAACAAAAGTATACTGTGCAAATAAATGAGCTGGAAGGACAGTTCCATCAAAAAGCCAGAGAAATAAGCATGATTCGGACAGAATTAAAAACAATAAAACAATTCCAGAAGAGAAAAATCCAAGTGGAGAAAGAATTAGATGATGTAAGTTCCTCTCTTTCTTTTCTCCCAAGATTGTTGATAGAATTAAATACTTAGGTCTGGGCCCTCCCTGGTGGCGCAGCGGGTAAAGCACAGCACTAAGAAGCCAAAGCCACTTCCCGCATGAGTTCGATCCCCGCCTGCCCTGGAGGTGATCCACATGGCACGGTAGACCTCTCCTGACCCACCCGCTGCTCCCCTCAGCAGTGTACTTCCTCAATCTGCCAGTTCTGCTCTCTGCTCTCTCTCTGGTGAACCCTCTCACTGCCCCTGTACCTCTGGCCTGTACCCCAGTTCTGTATGCATAAATAAATAAATCTTTAAAAAAAAATACTTAGGTCTATGAGAGACTTCACAGACATTTTCTCTTATGAGATGGTATAAAGGACATGTTGACATTTTTAATATTATTTGAGAGAAGAGGGAGAAGACTTATCAGTTTAGAATTGGATACAAAAGCGCTTAATGGTTAGACTTTTCTTCTTTTGTGTATTCATTTCTTTGTAGGTTCACCAAATCTTAGCTCATTTACCCTCCTACATTTATATCAACAGTTATAAATGGAGCGACTTCAACAAGAAACAAACCATAGTTCTTAGAAACCAGTAGGGGCAAAGATGCAAAGTCCTAAAGGAAATATGTTGAGATTGATAAATGATAATTTTAGAAAGCGCTATGCGTTGGTGTGGGTGGGGTATGGAAACTAACTATTTTCAGGAAGTTTCTCTGACCCATCTAGTAACGTACTCTAACTTTCCATTCCTTCAGCTCAGGATGTAGTGTTACTGTATTAATGATAATGCAATAAAAAGCACAGGTTGAGCGCCAGGCACAAGTAGCTAAAATCAGCTTTGTGACTTTGGGTAAATTACTTAATCTCTCTATACTTTGGTTTCCTCATCGGTATAATAGGGTGACGAGAGTTACTTACAGGACTGCTATCAAATCTAAATGAGTTAACAAATGTAAAATGTAAAAATATGTCACATAGTAAGAATATTATTAACAGTAATGTGTACCTGTCTTTGGAAAAGGGCCCTCATTTGTAGCATTTGCTGATTTCTTTGGTTTAAACGCTTTTTGATGGCCAATTTCAACTGCCAATGCTTTAGCAACCTGTTAGCAATGAGCTGGCATGAGCTAATTCTTCACACACAACTGAGTATACATGAATACTGCTGATATTAGTGATACTAGTCAGAGAAATATTATTCTAAGTTAACCATGTGGCATGAGGTGTAGGAGTTAGGTGCTGGTACCTTTATGTCAGACTGAAAGAATATAAATACTGTCTTGAATACTTGGGCATCTTGTTAAATATCCTTAGTTGTAAAGTGAAGTTGAGAATAATGATGGCAACCTCAAAGGATCATTGTGAATAATAGATAATGAAAAAGAAAACACAAGATAATGTTTTAAATGCTTAGCACTGTGTGATAAATATTACCTGCTATCAATGATCCTATTATTATTCTCCTGCTAAAATTATGATCATTATAGTTTATTTAAAACTCTCCAACTCTCCATTTTAGTGTCTCACTCTCTGTCACGACCTGGTGTTTCCAGCTCCCTCTGGCTACCCAGGGCCCAACTTAGCCAGAATAAGCTTTGATGACAAACCAAAGTTTCTGCATCCTATTTCTGTTTACTTTTAGCTAATATTAAACTGAAAGTGTGGGTGTATGAAAAATGAGTATGATAGGTAAGATAAGGTAGTGGTTGAGATCGTGAACCTCATGCTGACTCTGCAGTTGATAGCTGTGTGGCTTCATGGTCTGTTAATCTCTCTGAATCTCAGAGCATTCTCTGCATTCCTTTTGTAAAAAGTGTCTTTAAAAGTCACCCACTCCTCTTAGAGATGTTATGTGGATTAAATAACATGACGAGTATGAAATGCTTAGCACACTGACTCCTATTAATCCCCAGGAAAAGTAGTAGCATAGGGCCTCCCAGGTGGTGCGGGGGATTCAGTCTCAGCACGATGAAGCTATCAGCAGCCACTGCAGCGCAGGTTCAACCCCTGGCCTGGGAGCCCGTCCACATGGAGCAGCAGACCTCTCCCTTGTAGGCATATGCCCTAATCAACCCTATTTCCTATTGATCATTTTTTGGTTGTCATTTTAATTTTAGCTGAAGGACAATTTAAGGCGAACAGAGCAGAAACATCAGGAGACTCTTAGAAGACTGGAAGGCAAGTTTTTTGAAGAAAAGGTATGCATATTAAGGTTAATTAGTGATGATTAGAATGTCGTTATCAAATCACAGCAGAAGAAAAACAGAGAAAATGAAGCCCATGCTAGATATCTCAGTGGCTAGTCTTTTTCCTCTTCCCAGCATCCTCAGGAGGGATTGCCATCTCACCAAGGCGTTAGGACATATCTCCCAACATCGGGTGTTCCCTTTGTGGAACTGTAAAGCTGCCTGTGCCCCATCACATAGGGGAGACAGGTTTGGGGCAGCTACTCTGGTGCACACGAGGTTGTTCCCTTAGTCAGGTTGTACTAACGATGTTAATAAAAGAGGACTCAAAATGTTCCTAGCACATCACAAGCTTCCAGGTTTCTATGGGCCTCTGAAGTTAATTCTCCTGGTTGTAGGAAATGCATAAGGTTACTTCTACAGAATCTATTCAGAGTGCCCTCCCTGGTGGCACAGTGGGTGAAAGCACAGCACATGAAGCTCTCTGAAGTTACTGCGGCACTGAGTTTGGTCCCTGGCCACGGAGGTGACCCATATCATGTAGCGGACCTCTCCTATTCCACCTGCTGCTCTCCTCAGCAGTGTATTTCAGTTTCATCTGGCTGCTCTGCTCCCCGCTCTGTCTCTGGTGAATCCTCTCACCCCCTGCACCTCTGGCCTGTATCCCAGTTCTTGTAAGTGTAAATAACTAAATCTTAAAAAAAAAAAATCAATGCAGTGCTCCCATGGCTTTTTTTTTTTCATTAATTCCTTTAAATTTTTGTTCTTAGGAAAGAAATTAACTATTTTTTTTTTTTTTAGAAATTATTGGGGATGTAGAGTTGAGGGTGTTGCAAACAGGCACTTCTTAGGTTTAGGTAAGAGGGTTTGCTTTTAAAATAACTCTAGGAGGGCACCCTAGTGCTTTTCCTTTTGGGCACTTTCTGACACTGGGAGGGATGGAAGTCCTCACGGAATGGGTTGCCCTCACGGCCTCTTCTCTCTATGCTCCCCTAAGCTTGATCTCTACTTGGTGTAACATTCTACACATGAAAGTTATAGAAATGGGCCCTCTTTGGTGGTGCAGCGGGTTAAAGCACAGCACTAAGAAGCCAAAGCCACTTCAGCATGAATTCAATCCCTGCCCTGGAGGTGACCCACATGGTGCAGCAGACCTCTCCTGACCTACCCGCTGCTCCCCTCAGCAGTGTACCTCATTAGTCGGCCTGTTTTGCTCCCCACTTCTGTCTCTGGTGAATCCTCTCACCGCCCCTACACCTCTGGCCTGTACCCCAGTTCTGTATACATAAAAAAAAATCTTAAAAAAATAAGTTATAGAAGTACTCATTCAGTTTACAGGATACCTGACTGACATAATAAATACTCAATGCAGTTTAGTTACTGGTAGTGTTTAGATCCTGTCCTAGAATATACATTCCATGAGAATAGGGATCTTTTCTGATTTGTTCACCACAGAATCTCTGGTTTCTAAAAAATCTGGTACATGGTTAGTGCTCAGTAGGAATTTGGTGAATGAACAAATGATTGTCATCATAACTGTATTTAGCAGAAATGTATCCCAGCTCTGCTTTCTAATACTGAAGTTGTGGTATTTTCCCTTTCTATTTACATATGATGTGGTTTCTTCAGTGGGGAGATTGAGAAAATACCCTAAGTTTCCTCTGCTCACATGATCCTCTTTGTTGTTTTCACCACCAAGACTTGGAGTGATTCATATCAGGTCATATGGACAGGAGTATTTTATTTGATATTAAAAATAAATAATTACTTTTTTAAAAAAAGATTTATTTATTTATTCATACAGAATTGGGGTACAGGCCAGATATATGGAGGGTGAGAGGCTTCACCAGAGACAGAGTGGGGAGCAAAACAGGCAGATGGATGAAGTACACTGCTGAGGGGAGCAGCAGGTGGGTCAGGAGAGGTCTGCAGCGCCATGTGGATCTCCTCCAGGGCAGGCGGGGATTGAACTCATGCGGAAGCGGCTTAAGCTTTTTAGTGCTGTGCTTTAACCCGCTGCGCCACCAGGGAGGGCCCAATTACTTTTTTTAAAGATATATTTATTTATACATACAGAACTGAGGTACAGGCCAGAGGTGCAGGGGTGGTAGAGGATTCATTAGAGACAGAGTCAGGAGCAGAACAGGCAAATCGTCGAAGTACACTGCTGAGGGGAGCAGTAGGGAGAGGGCTGCTGTACCATATGGGTCACCTCCCTGGCCAGGGATCAAATTCATGCTGAAGTGGCTGCAGCTAGCTTTTTAGTGCTGTGCTTTAACCCATTGCACCACCAGTGACGGCCCCAATAATTACTTTTTGACAAGTAAAACTTGTTGTTGGTAATACAACTATTAAAACAGCCTGTTTTCTGGGCAGAAGAGCTAAAAAGACACTTCTCCAAAGAGGAAATGCAGGCAGCCAACAAGCATATTAAAAAATGTTCAACATCCTTTGTAATAAGGGAGATGCAAATTAAAACCACAATGAGATACCACCTCACCCCAGTGAGAATGGCACATCTTCAAACAACTAGCAACAACAAATGTTGATGAAGATGTGGAGAAAAAGGAACTCTCCTGCACTGCTGGTGGGAATGTGAACTAGTACAACCACATGGAAAACTGGAGGTTTCTCAAACTGCTAAAAATGGCACTCCCCTACAACCCAGCAGTCCCACTGGTAGGTATCTACCCAAAAGACACAAAAACACTGATCAAAAAGACACCTACACCCCCATGTTTATTGCTACTTTGTTTATAATTGGAAAGACATGGAAACAATCCAAATGCCCAAAAATGGATGACTGGATTAAAAAGATATGGTATGTATACACAATGGAATATTACTCAGCAACCAAAAAGAAAACACATGCCTCTTGCAGCCACCTGGATGGAGCTGGAAAAGATCATGCTTAGTGAAATAAGCCAGAAAGAAAAGGAAAAATACCGGATGGTTTCACTCATAGTAGGAGCATAAAGGGCCAGGAGAGAAAATAATAATAATAATAAAAATGAACAACTATATACCAGAGACATTTTATGGGGATGGAGTGGGGAATGGGATCAAAAATGGGGGGGTGAGTGCACGGGACTGTGGTGATGGCACACAGGTGATTTGGTGATGGAAAGCCCACGGGGATTACAACTGAGATGGAAAAATGCACAAAATGATGTAAAAATAAACTATTATATTATTAAAAAATACTACCTATTTTCTTTTTGTTTTTTAGCACCGACTAGAACAAGAAGCTGAAAAGAAGATAATAATGCTGGCAGAGCGAGCCCACAATGAAGCTGTTGCGTAAGAGACAGCTACCTCCTTTTTCTTTCTGACGGCCTCTTCTCTTTCCCTTTCTCTCCTGGCTTCTTTACTTTCTCTCTCCTCTTTTTTCTCTTTGTGGCCTGCCCCTTTTCCATCCAGTCTTTATGTAGTAACATAGGATAGAGAAAAGAACGTGGGCTTAGAAGTTAGACTTTGGTTCTGAACATATATTCTGACTGTAGGAAGTTTTCCTGACTTTTTTGAAATTCTTTTTTTTCATCTAAAAATGAGATCAATATAGTAAATTTGCCTGGTTGTCATAAGATAAATTAGTGATGGGTTAATGAATTCCCAAGTTTCAATGGTTTATTTTTTATTCCACAATTCAATATGGGTTGACAGGTCTTCTCCAGTGGTGCTTCAGGAAGGTGAGCCTTTCCACCTTGGAGTTGTTCCCGTCCAGCCCTATGAATAGGAAAGAGCATGGGAAACTCATACCTGCTCTTAGCAGTTTTGAACCGGAAGTAATATGACACTTTTCATTTTCCCATTGGTGAGAACTTGGTCATAAAATCCCCACCTAACTGTTGAATACCCACCATAAACTATATAAATGAGTGGGGGTCATTATAAGTAAAGTTGTGGGATAAAGCAATCATTGATTTAGTATGATAATATCTAAAACTTAGGCCCATGTTTTGGGATCTTATATCTGTCTACTGCAGGCAATTGAACAGTGCTGGAAGAACTGTTTTTAAAGAGAACATATATCTCCAGAAGGCCCTCACATACCATCTTAAAGAAGCGGAAGTTCTACAAAAAAATACCCAGAAGTTGCAAGAGAGTCAAACTTTTCTTTTACAACAAAAGGTTCCCACTCTAATTACTTAGAGTTTATTTTAGAGTTTATTTCCTTTTTTTTTTTCCTTTGGTTTTTTAAAGGATGGGTTGTTAAATACTAAACATTGAGTATGGTAGTTTTGTATAAGGACAATGGGACTGTTTTTCTTCTACTGCAAAACTTATCTTTCTTATATAAAAAAATCAGTTACAAAATAACTTAATAAGTAGTAGTGTTGGCTTTATAAAGAGTGTATCAGAAATACAAATATAACTCCTGTCCTCTGTTACCTTATAATACTCGTTTTGCTTTGTTTGGAGTTGGTTGGTCCCTGGGCCACTTAGGGTTTAGCTCTAAGTACAGCCCTGATAACAGTGCTTCACCGTGTAAATGTTTATCCTCTCACTAAAATAACTCTGAAGGTAGCAATCCAGAGCTGGAATGGTAGTGCCACAATGTCAATAGAGGCTCAGCTTCTTTAACCCTGTTCTACATGTGGTTTATATCCTCAAAGTCACCTCATGGCCTACAGAAGCTGCTGGAGCTCTAAGCATTATTCAAAGAAAGGAAGGAAGGACAAGAAGGAAAAAGTATGTCCCTCCCTTTAGAAGTTTTCCTACACACATTTCTACTTCCATTTTATTAATCAGAACTTAGCTACATGGCTGTGCTGAACCACAAGAGAGAGAAAATTTTCAGTTGAGCTTATGGCCTTCCTGTGCAAAACTGGGACTTTATTACTATAGAGGAAAGGAATGTTGGTATAGGGAACAAGCAGACTGCCAGTTTCCAATATATAGTTGTTAATGTTCTATTGTATAGCCTTACTGATTTTCAAATTATCCTTCTAATAGTGTAAATATTTAACCTCTCAAAATTTTAGAGGCAAGAAATTTTCTTAATTAACAAAATCAGTGACCTTTAAAATCCAGAAAAGGACACTAGGATGTTCTGTATACTCTAAGCACAGAATACCAAAACATCACCATCTCAACATGCCATCACACTCAAATCTCATAATCTCATGAAATAAAAAAATTCATGAGCAGCTTTTATGTTCTGGGATTGATTAAAGAAAAAAATAATCCCTGTCACCTCTTTTCCTGTTTTTAGGAGATCAATGATTTGTTGGTTAAGGAAAAGATTATGCAACTTATGCAGCAGAGATCACAAATCCAGACTCTTCAGAAGAAGGTGTTGAGCTTGGAGACTGCCCTAAGTTGTATGACCAGAGAGTTTGAGACTGAAGTTTTAAAACTACAGCAACAGGCGCTAGTGGAGAACCAAGCAGGACGAGTTGAAATCGACAAGCTACAGCAACTTCTTCATATGAAGGACAGGGAAATGAATCGAGTGAAGAAGCTGGCCAAGAACATACTGGATGAGAGAACAGAAGTGGAAAGATTCTTTTTAGATGCTCTACACCAAGTAAAGCAACAGATCCTATTTAACAGGAAGCATTATAAACAGGTAGCACAAGCTGCTTTCAATTTTAAAATGAGACAGGCGTGTGCAGGAAGAACAGAATATCCCAAGATCCGAACATTTGATGGCAGAGAACACAGCACCAATAGTGTGAATCAAGATCTTATGGAGGCTGAAAAATGGTATGAATAATGCTTTGATACTTATCACTTTGTGATTGTTCTTGTGCTATTCAGAGGAATCTTGAAAAGTTCCGTTTGATAACATCTCAGTATTAAACACATTACTCAGAAAGTTACTTGAGCATAGGAACTGACAAACTCATCTTTGTAACCCCATACTTAGCAGAGTGTATAGGCATCAGTAGGTATTTTCAGTATCCCCTTCCTCTTTTGTGTTAAAAAACAAATTTATTTATGCATACAAGAACTGAGGTACAGGCTAGAGGCATGGGGATGAGAGTGTTCACCAGAGATAGAGCAGCAGATGTATTGAGACAGGAGAGGTCTGCTGTGCCCTTGGGCCACCTCCTTGGCCCGGGGATCGAGCTAGTGCTGCAGTGGCTGCGGATAGCTTCATAGTGCTGTGCTTTAACTTGTTGCACCTTAGAGTAGAGGGCCATGTCTAAGACTTTAAAGAGGCTAGATCATAGAATACAGTCCCACAGAATGTCATCATAATATTTTTTCTAATTGAGTTAACATTAGTTTACAACACTACGATTCAGAGGTAATTTATTTCAATATGTTCCCTGTTTTTTTGTTTTCTGTAGTTTGATTAGACTCAGTTAAACATTTTTTATAATCATTCATAAGTATTTTGTAATTTCCATTTACCGTTATAAAGTCAAATTCATAAGTAGCTAACTAAACATACAGTTTTTAAAAAATATTAATTTATTTATGCATACAGAGCTGGAGTACAGGCCAGAGGTGCAGGGGCAGTGAGAGGCTTCACCAGAAACAGGCCGACTGACAAAGTACACTGCTGAGGGGAGCAGCGAGTGGGTCAGGAGAGGTCTCCCGCACCATGTGGGTCACCTCCGGGGCAGGCGGGGATCAAACTCATGCTGAAGTGAGCTTCTTAGTGCTGTGCTTTAACCCGCTGCACCACGGAGGAGGGCCAACTAAACATAGAATTTAAAAATCAGTATAACAATTCTTGGTGCAGAACTATCTCATGGCTTGGAGGACACCCATAGTACCCCTCGGGAGTTTTCAAAATAGAGATCTGCCACCATGAGCAGAGCAGCAGAGCCAAGATAGCTGTAGATGGCATCCACTGCTTGTTTCCTGGTAGCATTTTTGTCTGCTCGAACACTTCTGTCCATAAACCATGGATTATAGTACATCTGAAAGATTATTTTGGAAACCAGGTTTTTATTTTTTTTTTTATCTCAATGTAATTAGATCCTTCAAAGGCCTTAACTCAAGAAACTTAAAAGGACTCTACTTAATAAGCTATTAAGTACATAGATTATTAAGAGTGCTTCTAAATGTATTTTCTGCTTTAAATTATTTTTAATGGACTAATTATAGGTTCTTTTAAATTATAATATAGCTGTAAGGAAAGTTGGATGTGATCAGTAGCTTCTGAAAGATAAGATTCTTCTTCATAAATGTTCGTACTGTTTTTTTTAAATATCTTGCCACATTCAGAAGTCTGTAAAAATACTATTACCAAGAGATGTACTGTAATCATCTCTTCTTTTTAATTTGTTAAGTAAGTTGAGTTACTACTATACATAAGGCAATTTCTCTCTCTCTCTCTCACTTTTTAAGATTTAGTTATTTTTGCATAGAACTGGGGTGTGGGTCAGAGATGTGGGGAGCGACAGGATTCACCAGCGACAGAATAGGGAACAGAACAGGCAGATTTATTGAAATACACTGCTAAGGGGAGGAGTGGGCAAGACAGGAAAAGCCTGCTATACCGTGTGTGCGCTTAGCTCCCTGGCAGGTGACCAAACTCAGGCCAAAGTGGTGAGAGCACTGAGATTTAATCCCCACCAGGGAGGCCGAACAGCAATTTCTCTCTACATTTTTTTGGTCTTCTGTATATAAGTAGTATGTAAGTTTTCAGTGGAAGGTACATAAAATGATTCTTCAATTATTATTTCAGAAATTGGATCTTCTTATTCTGTGTTCTGTCTGTATTCTACTGAGTAACTTGTCATCTTAACCACAATGTCCTATTGCCTCTACCAACAGGGAAGTAATGGTGGTTAAAATATTTCCTTGGGACAGCTGCTTCTGTGCACACCTGTACCTATGCAGGTGCTTCTTTCCACCCACTCTCTCTCTCTGCAGAGCAGCAGCCTCCTGCCTGCCTGTGACCTCCCTCAGGGTAGACCGCTCTCCTAAGACTGCCTGCCTGCAACTGTGCAGGTCTCTTTCCCTGCAAACCTGTCCTTTTTGGGGCAGCTCTTCCTGTCCACTTGCACCTATCCAAGTGTCTTTCCCTCTCCTGTCTTTAATAAACTTACTCTTTAAATATATATATTATATATATATATTTCCTTGTCCCTCACTGGTGGCACAGCAGGTTAAAGCCTCACTGCAAAGCTGGCCACTGATTCTTAGGTACAAGTTCAATCCCCTGCCCAAGACGTGACCTCTCCTGTGTTGCCTGCAGCCCCCCTCCGCAATGTATTTTGCCAATCTGCAGGTTCTGCCCCCCACCCTGTATCTGGTGAATCCTCTCACTGCCCCTGCACCTCTGGCCTGTACCCCAGTTCTGTGTGCATAAATAAACAAATATTTGAAAAAAATATATTTCCTCATCTATGTAAAAGGCAGATTGGGGAAGGGGATTTGAAGTATGGTGAACATAAGGCAAACCCAAACTTAAAATAAAAACACTAATCCAGCTGGCCTATATGCAAAAGTACTTCAGATATTATATGACATTTATTATTCTAGCTCCATGTCATCCAGCTTTTGTAAATAGCAAGTAGATTGTAAATCTTTGGGAAAGTTATGGTACAGATAAAGACCAGCTTGGACAGTTTAGCTGCAGACTTGGAGTTCAGACAGTAGACCAGAAGTTACATGCTTTTTCTAAATTTACATTTCGTCACTCTTTTATCATAGCAAAATATTTAATACAAATGTAAGAGTTGAAAAAATTTATCAATAATTTCACTGAACAACTTTGTTGTTATTATTATTTTTGTCTTTGTGTGTACCTATATGTAGTTGTATCACAGATTTCTGTTTTGCTTAGCTGCTTAAAGTTTTCCACGTTCTTATAGCTTTTCTTATTTTCAACTTAGTAACAACATAACATTTCAGATAGGCCAGCATATTTACATCTTTTTTAGCTTTATGATTTTATGGTTTACAAAGTTTGCTTTGTAGTAATTACATTGGAAAACTGGTAATATTTAGTTATGGTTTAGAAATTTTCTTTCACATCTTTACATATTTTATATTTTCAAACAGAAGAGATATTTATTTTCACCATATTTTTTTTCTTCTTACCTTTTTTCTTTGAAAATTTTCAGGAAAGATATTCAAGGAAATGTGGATATTGGCGATTTGACCTGGGAGCAGAAGGAGAAAGTTTTGAGATTGCTCTTTGCAAAAATGAATGGTTTTGTTCCTAGGTAACTCCCTATTTCTGTAGAGAAATATTGTTATCAAACCTAGAAACTACATTGGAACAGTGGTCTGATTCTCACCTAAAATTAAAGAATGGGGAAGACCAGAAAATATAAAAGGGATTACTTAGATGTTGCAATTCCATACATAAAGAATGAGAAATGAATGGATGAGCATGAAAATGAAAGATGAGTTGATGAGTTGGAATTTTTGAGGGAGGGAAAAAGAGTTAGAAAAAGATTAATCCTTTTTCTTTTTTTGCTTATGGTAATACTTGCTAAGAAGGTGTGTGTGTGGTAATTGAAATACCTAAGGGAATTCCGTAAGGGAATCTGGTCTAGTTGGCAGAGTCAGCAAAGTTTCTGACTTCTAAAAGGTAAATAGGAACAAGAGAGGTAGAGATAAAAACCTTCTAGGCAGAAGAAACAGGAAGTCATGTTTTCAATGTTTAATTGGAGACAATGGTAATAAAGTGAAAGACATTCAAGGAATTGGTAAACAGTGATTGAAATACAAGTGAAGAGTTTAGGAAGGGAGATTAGAACATGTTGCATGAGAACTAGTATTAGAAATGAAGGTAGAAGAGTAAGGGACTCAGGCTAGAACTTTTGGGAATAACCACATTGAAAATAACAAAGAAGATACATACAAAAGAGTTTAAAGTGTTAGACTAACTGGGAGATAGAGGACTATGAAATTGTTTTTGTGACTGGTAGCATTCCAAAGTGTCTTATTATAGAGATGGAGGTAGACTAGATTGTGGGTACTTAATGTCTGTTTCATTGAGTTAACTTTTCTGTATCCCCAGAAATACAGCCTCAAGTTCCACACTGTGTTGTTCATAGCATTGGAGAAGCAGTGGAATTTGAGGAAATCTTTCACACCAAAGCAATCAACTTGAAACTAATCACGTCAGGGCTGAAAGAAAAGTTAAGGTTGCGATAGAGTGGTGAAATATGGAGGAGAAAATGAGACTTAGAAAGCTCAAACAAAACTGGGAAGGAAATAGATCATAAAAGGTCTACTAGGCAAGTGAAATAATTAGGGAATAGTAAGAGTTCACAGCAGGTTGTGTCTGCTTGTGAATCTAACAGTACAGCACTGTTACTGAACACCGGTCTCAGTTTCCCTCAGCCAATAAAAGGAAACAGAGTTTGATGAAAAGGAAAGTGGTTTTATTTGTCAACAAATGAGGAGGGCAGCAGACTCATGCCCGAAAGACCACCGTCCTGCTCTTTGGCAAGATGCAGGGCTATTTATACAATGTTCAACAAAGAAAAGGGGAGGTAGAGTGTCCGCAAAGGGGAGGGAGTAAAAGTTAGTGCTGGGATGGAGACCAGTGGGCACCAGCCTTTATTTACACAAAGACAAACAAAAATGGGGAATCAGCAAGAGTAATGGAGAGGGGGCAGGGGAAGCACAGGGAGGAAGAGAAGTCGGCATCAGCAAGCTTTTCCACCATTTGCTTTTGTTTGGGATTCCTTTCCTTGACCCTAAACCTGTCAAGGAAGAGGAACTGCAAGGAAAACAAACTCTCAATCAATTAAGAGCTCTGGGAAAACCAATTCTGTCATAAATTTGTCAAAGAAGGCAAATCCGCAAATGCTTATCTGAGAGCCCATTTGCTGTATCAGTACTGTGACTGAACTAAGTCACCTGAAGTAAGTATGCCCAGTAAACTGGCTGTATGCTTCCGTGCATCAGCAACCAACCACTCTGGCTATAACTCAGACACTAGGAGTACATAAAATTCATTTCTCCCAGGCATCATTATTGAACTATTTAATATAACCCATTTTGAGTGGGTTTGATTGAATATGGATATGTAAGCATATCCATATAGATGCACCTAATTATCTACTGTCAAATCAACCAACTATACTTTAAAAAAAAAAGTTTGTTTAGGCACACAGAACTGGGGTGCATGTGAAAGGTGCAGGGGCAGTGAGAGGATTCACCGGAAACAGTGAGGAGCAGAACAGACAGATGGACGAAGTACACTGTTGAGAGGAGCGGGGTGGGGGTGGGGGGGTGTCAGGAGAGGTCTGCCGCGCCATGTGGTCACCTCGGGGGCAGGCGGGAATCGAACTCGTGCGGAAGTGGCTTTAGCTTCTCAGTGCTGTGCTTTAACCCGCTGCGCCACCTCTACCATACTAATGAGGAGAGACTAAATAGCTTGCCCAAGATCATAGTTGTTAGGTCACATAGAAATCAAACTTAAGTCTGTCTAATACCTGCTTAGTGTAAATCTCTACATTCTTATAGGAAATCGATCAAATGAACAATATACAGCAAAGGTGTGATCTGTAGTGATACTTTAGCCCACACATGAATGATAACACACAAATGCAGAATTCTCTAGAAGAATATGCTAGAATCAAGTGGGGAAGTGGATCAGATTAGACAGGAGCAGTTCCCTTGCCCAACAGCCACGCTGCCAGGAGGGGTTGTGGGAAGGGAATAAATACTCATCGAACGTGTGTAGACATGTCACTTTCTTTGTGTCCATGCTGCTGGCATGAAGCTGCAGCTAACCTTTTGCTCACAGCCTCTTCCATCCAGATGGAGGAATGCAGACACATGATGACAGCTCTTGAGAGAGACCTCTTGAATTGCAAGCCTATTCTGCACTGAACTGATAGGCACTTTAAGCTAAGCAAAGAAACTCCTGGACCCTAATTTCTCCATTTACAAAGTAGGCACGATTAAAAATGTGTTTATCAGGTTTTTCTTAAGACTTAAAGAGAGGATATCTGTGAAAGCAATTCGCAAGTTCTTAATTAGTAAGCAAAGCAGCAGAGTAACCAGAGATCAAGTAGCCTGTACAAGGTAAAACATTTACTACTTGACCCCTTACAAAGTTTCTTGATCCCTGGTCTAGAGTAAAGGGGGGAGTCCCTTTTCTTATAGTGAACAGAAATTGCATTTGCAAACTGAGAGAAGTGAGGAGAGGAAAGGGACTGGGTTTTATCTACAAGCCTGAGCCACCATCCTAAGTAGCACTTTGGAGAAGAAAGCTTTTGTTTTTCATTATAATGACATACTATTATTGTAACTATTTAGCAAATTTAAGTCATAAAATACTCATACCCAGTGTTCTGATTATCAGGTAAAGTTGGTCCACATCTGACTTTCCAGGCCAAAGTGGCTGGCCTGTCAGGAGCTCTGCAAAAACACAGCCAGTAGCCCACACGTCGACTGAAGAGCCATACTGAGTATCTCCCACAAGAAGTTCAGGAGCTCGGTACCATCTTGTAGCAACATAATCAGTGTAGGCATCTCCTGGAACTGCAAACACATCCATCAGGTAGGTCACATTTGTGTGAGCTATTCCCAAGAGCAGGCCAGACATTCAGGCAAGGTTCGGCCAGGACAGTCCCAGCAGTGAATGCAGTGAAGCACTAGCTGGGGAAACA